GACGCGATGCCGTTGGGCTTATGTGCCCTTGGTCTCTACTGTGTACCGTGGAGTAAGTAAGTAGGGTGTTATGCCGTCCGCGGGAGCATCGCGCTCCCCGGAGCACACCATATCTCAACACACACACGCGCGCGAGCGCGCGCGCATCTTCCGGTCAGCCCCTCCCTCCCTTCCCTTCCCACCTCGATCAAGCAAGCAGCCGGCGCCGCTGCGTTGTCAACTCGTGTAGAGGTGTGTAGGTGTGTGGTGCGTGTGAGTACGTGTAGTTAGCATCCTGGGTGGTGTATGGAAAAATCATGTTAGCAGAGAAAGACGAGAGGAAAAAGCAAAGGGCCTGGCCCAGGCCGGGCCCAGCATCGCCAAGGCGCCCCCAACGTGAGATTTCCCTCTCGGCTGCCGCTGCACGAGAAAGAAGGAGGGCAGGCGATGATGGGCGGAACATCTCGCCTGTTGAGCCTGCGTTACATTCGCAACCCTTTCCCACTTATTTCCCCCCTCACCTTCCCATTTCCTGCCCCCAACTTTTTCCGGCCTGCTACCTCTCTGGCTGGCTGGCTGGCTCTGGCTTTTGCTGGGCTTGCCCGCCTGGCCTGTCTCCGCAGTAGGTTGTCTGCCAGCTAGCCCTTGCGCCTGTACGCAGTAGTCTGTGTCTGTGGGCAAGAGATGCGCCGTCGCCGCCGCCGCCGCGCCTCCTCGGGAAGTAATATGTCAGATGTACTGTACCCAACGCTAGACCTGGAGCAGGGGAGGTGGTGAGGGGAGGGGGTTCAATGTCGAATATTGGCTGTCAAAGTACAGCATACCTCACATGCAGAAATGCGCAGTATGACAAAATAGTGCGTATCCCGCTGAGGGGGCACGGGGGTTGGGGGGATAGGAAGAGCTGAACGTGAGGCAGCGGCGAATGGGGGTATCGCCAAAACACAGCTCCGCCACCGATACGTCGATGCTCATTAAGCACCGGGAGCCAGACGTATGTATTGCCTACATCAGTACCTTTTGCCGCCGTCGTCTCTGCCACCGATCATCCTCCCACCCCGGGGACGTTCGAGGCAAATTGAAGGAAACGGGCGAGCCAAATGATGCTACTGATCCTCAGCAGTTGGGAAGTACAACAGGACGGGCCCAATCGTTCGCCGTCAAGACCACAGGATGCAAGCAAGTATGATTCGCATATGTGCCAGTCGCGCGGCAGTAGTGCTACAGCGATTAGCATGTAAGGCAATGCAGCGGCCCTGGCCTTGGGAGCTGGCTGCTGCGGCTGCTGCTGCTGCTGTACGTTGGAAGACTTCCCGCCAAATGCCGCTGCCCCTTGTTAGATTGTCTGGTCTTTGTGCGCCGAGTTTGCACATTGTTGTTTTGACTTTCTTCGGCTTCGATTCTCTGTCATTTGTTCGTCTCTGTCTGTAACCAAAGGGACGGCTGCACTGTGCCCTTTTCGTCTTCGGCTTGAAGCTAAGCAAAAATCTTTGCCAACCTCGGCGCACTTTGACTTCTGACAGCCGCCCTCCTCTACTTTCTCTAACGCACAGTCGTCGCCGGTACGTAGACGGCGCATTCCAGTGCGTCTTTTATTCTCTCTTCCTTTCCCTCTCTGGCCCAGGAGGGGGGTGAGGTATCTTTTTTTTTCTCGCTGTCTTTTTGGATTTATCCCGAACTTAGCTCCCGAGGCGAGACAACCTTTTTGTCTGGGACACGACCGGTGTGAGCCAGCAGGGTGGAATGATAATAGTTATGACAGCAATATTGAATGATGTCGGAATTGGACCTGGCCGACCTTTTCTCGAGATATCCACCTGCGTGTGAGTCCCCCGCTCTCGCTCGTCGTCGTCGTCTTCGCGTTTGGAGCCCGCTGGTGGCCATGACCCAGGTCTATCCGCGAAGTGGATGCCATATGGAAATAACAACCCGCTCCTTCCTTACCAGGCCTGGCAGCTGTCCCCGGGAAGAGAGATAGGGTCGATGGCCTGCATGCGCGTACGGACGGGTATGCATGCTGCTCGTACATGGGGTGGCGGCGGCGAGATCACGGATCACAGAGTTGCCCCGGGGGGAGACCTGCTTGCTTGCTCACGGACACCGTAGAGCTTGAGGAAACAGAGCAGGTATCGAGAAATGGCTCCTGCGCACCTGGACCGCAGCAAGCAGGCGCATGCTGGGCAGATCATATAACTGTCAGGGACGGGGTCAAGCGAAAGTGACGTGGAATCTCGGGCACGAGCTGGAGTTCCCTTGCCGCCGCTTGCGGGTGGCACTGCCTTGTCAGCGCCTTCAAGTTGATACTGGATGAATCGTCGAGTCGGGGTAGAACTTGCTCGCTTGAAACGGTTCGCCCCCCTCTCGTTGACCCTTGCGGCGGTCTCTAGCGTCCCTGATTGATCTCACGTGAGAGAGGACGGGAGCTGCGCGAGGGAGCTTGGGGCTCGGCGGAGGGTGATTGACTTTTTCCTGTCTCGCCAAAGTCCTCCCTGCCCTTCAGAACCCTGCAACCTTGCGGTTTTGTGAGATGACTTTGTCTTGTCTCGACTTTATCCCGACTTGACGAGGTTCTGGGCCGTTGGATGAAGTCGTTTTCGGGGACGGGATTACGTAGTTGAGCAAGTGGTGCAGTGCAGTAGCAGCCAGCACGCGCAGTGCAGCGTTGAAGAATGCGCGGCGCCTAGTTGCTGTGCAGCAAAAGCGCGCAGAATATGCAAGCCTCGGTGCGTTTTGTCGATTTCAGCTTTCTTTTTCCCCGGAAGTTTGGTTGCTTGTCATTTCTCACAGTCTGCAATGAATGGCATGTTAGGTGGTTTGATGTATGTAGGCGTCGCAGGGCATGTCACATGCCGCCGTCGAGGTTGCTGTCAGGGGCAGCAGGGCAGCAGGGCAGCATCCTTTACCTCCCGCGCCCTGTCCCAGCGAATGTAGCCGCGAAACACTGCGGCAGGAGGAGGGGAGAGAGAAGTCTCGGAAGGCAGGTACAAAGTAGTGGGCAGCGGCGCGGCGGGCAGCGGGCATCGTGCATGAACTCCTGGTACGGCATGATAAGAACCTAAGGGTGTGTTATACATGTGACGGAGCACCGGTGTTTCTGTCGAGTGTCCAAGGGTCGCCCCAGGGGAAGAGCAGTCTTGATGCAGGAGAAGAAGAGGGAAGAAAGGAAAAAAAGGTTCGCAGGCAAGGAAGGCTGCATCTGGTGGTGCAGTTGGCGTGCATGCGTGTGTGCGTAAGTTGGTCCGGGAAGAGGCGAAGATGGCAGACATGGGAGTCCCCGAGTTGGTGCAGCAGTGAGCGAGCCGACGATGTGGCAGGCCAGGTCCGGGGCGGAGGAAACGACCCTTTTCGTTTGGTGTTTCCCGGCGGTCGCCGCGCGGCAGAGGTTTGGGGATCTAAGTCAATTGTTGGGCCGGAGCTAGGTGTACCTGAGATGAGAGAGCTTGGATGCTACAAGCTTTGCGTCTGGCACCTCTCTGGACGGCGGACGGGCGAATGGGTGTGGGAAGAGGCGAAGCTTCGGTGATTCTCTGAAGCAGGGGAATCCGGCTGTGTAAGCTTTTTCTTTAAGGTGCAAGCTTCGGCCGATGGAGTTGGAGAGGGCGTGATGTGCATGACTGGCGTCGTCTGTGGGGGATGCGCTGCCAGAGCGGGCGACATTGGAGACCGATTGGGTGGCTTTGTTTTTTTGCCGCAGCGAGGACATCGATGTGCGAATGCAGTTTACGGGTGGATGCGACGATCAAAGGGACGGAACTCTGTTTCCTCTTTTTTTGGTTTTGGCGATATCGTACGCCATTGTACTCGGTACTCAGTACTGTCGCTGGAGTGTTTCTTGGTCGTGGTGGTGGTGGTGGTAGAAGATAGGAATAGCCTTCTGTTGGGGGTATTGTTGGGTTGTGGAAGCCACATCTGAGGTCCAAGTCCGGTACTCCTCCGGAGAAAAAGGCAAACATCTTGACCTTGGCGGACTCTGTCTCTTTCTCTCTCTCTCTCTCTTTCGGGGTGTCTTCGCTTTCGCACCTCACTGCGTCTCGACCTGACGTCCGTCTTCACACTGACAGTTCCGGTTCCGGTTCCGTGGGCTCGTGTGTGTGCGCGGGTGGGCATGTGCGTCGGTCGATTGGTTGAGTGTGGGCTCGTGGGAAGAAACAATGGTTGTTTAGGGAGAGGGGCGTGTCGGTCCGGTGTTAACATTAGGCTGATGATGGTGTATCCGTACCTGCAGGAGTCTCCGAGGTTGAAGCTGAGGTGAAAGGTGAAAGGTCCCCTATGGTCGAAGCGTTTCGGTCATGCTTTTGGCTTCCAGCTTGCGGAAGGTTCCAAGGGACTTTGACGTGCACATGCGCGCATACGTACGGCGTACTGCGTACATATAGCTGTGAAGAGTATGCAGGGCAGCAGGGCAGCGCAGCTGGAGATGCCTCACGTTGTTGGAATTGGGAGCTTGGGTAGGTAGGTGCGTCGTACACTGACTTGAAGGAAGACACCCGGGCCTGGTGAGAGGCACTATCATGCAACACCAAGTTACCAACAACTTCCCAGGTTGTGGAGAGAAACACACCGTCAGGTCGTGTCTCTCACCGGGACTGGGACTGCCTTCGTTCGTTGCGCTGCACCTGAACCGGGCGCTTCCCTTCCCTTGGAGGAGGAGGAAGGAACACACAAAACAGGGTCACGTGCCCCGCGCCTTCTTCGCGCCTGGATTGGCCCTGATCGTCCTGCGCTTTGTGCCTCCCGTGTTGCGGCTACGCGTCCCTCGCGTTTGGGAGGCTGTCTTTGTTTGGTGGGAAATAGAGAATACACTAAAAAAAAAAATACAAAGTAATCGTCATTTCGACCAGTCGTTTCCCATTCCGACCCATGGACTTGAACGACGTCGTAGTCGCAGTGTTGACGTGCATGAACTTCTTATTCCCTACCTAATATCAACTGCACGTCGTCCAACCCGACCCTTTGTGCATCAAGGCAGAAGGAAAAAAAAGAAAAAGCAAAGAGACATTCCTCCTGCTGCATACAACACGATGCCGCCGCCAGAAAAGACTCCCCTGCCGCCGGCCGCGAAGCCACGCTTAAGCAACAACTTCGATCCGTACAATTCCAGCGCTACCGGCCATCAACGCCCGGAGACGGCACCCGGCGCGACTCTCGGGTGGCGGGACAGCCGAGCCCGCAAACTCGCCGGGCAGTTCGCTGCGGGCCACTCCGGTGGCGTCCGCATGAGCGATACTTACGGCGCCGGGAGCGAAGACTACGATGAGAAGCTCAAGATGGTTGTGCCCAAGAACGTCAGGGCACGGGCAACGACGAGCGTTGCCGACATGCTCGCGAGGCCGGGGCTGACGAGGAGCGGCTCGTCCATCTCTGACGCTGGATCCGCTGCTTCGACGACATCAGCCGTGAGAGGAGATTCAACAAACGAGGAAGCCATTATGGAGGCCCGCAGGAGGGAGGACGAAGAAAAGGAGGAGAAAGCAGCTGCTGGACTTGGCTTGTTCGAGGGCGTAACTGTCTATGTCAACGGCAGCACGCATCCCATTATCTCGGACCACAAGCTCAAGCGCGTGCTGGTCGAAAATGGCGCCCGCATGTCGATACACCTCGGCCGGAGGCAGGTTACGCACGTCATCGTGGGCAGGCCGGCGGGAGTCGGGGCTGGAGCCGGCGGTGGCCTCGCAAGTGGCAAGCTGGAGAAGGAGATTCGCAAGGTGGGCGGCTGTGGAGTGAAGTACGTTGGAGTCGAGTGGTATGTTCTCCTGACTATCTTCTTCATACCTGCAAACATGTACTGACGGCTTCGGAAAGGGTGCTCGAGAGTCTAAAGGCAGGAACTCGGTTATCGGAAGCAAGGTTTGCACCGCTGAAGGTTGCGAGAGAGGGACAGAAGAGCGTCTACGGCATGTTTGGAAAGCCGTCCTCGACAAGTCCTTCCGCTGGTTCGGCTAGTCGATGACCGATCACCATTGCGATTGCATTTGAGGCGCATGAAGTTGGATGACGGTTTCTACATGGGTTTGACGGCTACTTTGCGTACGCTCTTGGCATTTTTGGGGACTGGAGACATCATGATACCAAGCATAAGATGGGCAGGCAAACTCTTTCTAGCATACGAAGCGTTCTTTAGCATCTTCTATCCCTTACAGATTCGAAATTCTCAATGTTCCAGGCCCATCCGGGGGCCTCTCAGGCTGGTTCGTGCAGCATCACTATCCCTTGCCGGCTTTGCCCATAGAGAACAAAGAGAAAACTACACCGCAAGGATTCCCGTCCGATTCTCTGCGCAACACAACACTGCGGAGATCTTGCCCGGCCCGGAAAACATGCTCCTCTTCACAGCATCATTGTGGTAACACAAAGGCTCGACGACCCGTAGACCCAAACATGGTACGACGGCACGACTCGATACGGGCGGGCGGGCGAGCATCAGGTCGGTCATTTTTTTTATTTTTTTTTCCTGTCGCGGCACCGGCTGCAAGCCGTTTCGTTGCCGGGGAAAGGGAAAATGGGGAGCGTGCTTGCGGACTGGCCTTGGTTACACCGCCAGGGATCCTAGGAGAGGGGACCCAGGGGAGGAGACACGGACTACGAGGCCATGGGCCAAGTGAAGGACTGGATGTTTTCTTTGCGGTCTGTATCACGCAGCTGCGGGCGCGTGGTACTCGTAGCGGACGGGTTCTGATGTCGCACCGTCCGTATTTTCTTCTCAAGTGACATCCGCTGGACGAGGACACGGGATCTTGGGGTGGGTTCAGCACCTCGTAACGTTATTTCGAAGTTGGAAATGGGAAGAAATGACTGGATGCGTGTCGAGGGCTCGTGGGGGGCGAGCGAGGGCTTTGTCAAACATGTCGAACGAGGAGAGCAGATTGAAGGGTGAGCCGTCTCGGCGTGGCGGTGGGTTATGTGGTTTTGCGCGACAGCCGTTGCGTAAAAGCCTCTTGCGACTCCCTGGCCGGACACTCCCGTTGGAAAAAGTTGGGACACAGGATTCGATATGTAATCATGTCCTCCTGGTCTGATGCTGGGGCATGCGGTGCCAGCTCAGCAGTGCCGTCATGTTGGGAAGTCGCACAGCATGGCCGGGACGTGTTAGCCGCGCTGCCGCAAGCGCATGATTATGTGATATTATAGATGGTTACGTGTGTGCTGTTTGTCGATCGGTGGTGGTTCGATATTCTTGTACCTGGACATGTAGTCTCTGCCTCTTGGGCTGATTCGATGATGTTGAACTTGTGACATGGAGTTCTGTTGCTGTGGCGCTTTAGAACGACATTCGAAGCCCCTGCTTGCCACTGAGACGGGCATTCGTTGAGGGGTTCAGGGAAAGATTCCCCAAAGATTTGAAGTATGGTCTTGTCAGGTAAGCGTTTGATAGTTCATGATTTCTTTTGTAGGTGCATCAAAGCTGATGGACGCGAAGTAGACAAGTAGTCAGAGCTTGACAATGGACAGAGTAAACGGCGAGTCCAAATACATCAGCTACCATTAGTTTGAAGAGTCACAAATATCCGCAGTCTTGCCTACAACCTGTCCGGGTTGACTTACAAACCCTGCATGGCCGACTAGTTCACATTTGTCCCTCAAGTCATCGCGCAACCCGTACCCGCAACCAAGACCATGATCTGATGCTCTGTATTGTTCAAAGAACGCTCGCTCTGCCAAGTAGTCTAAGTTACAGCTTCGCCCTTGCCTCTGTGCTCTTGTGCCCCTCCCCCTTGATCTCCCAGTACTCCCTGACTTTGGCTCTCGCAACCTCGACCGCGCCAGCATCCTCAACAGTGCTCGGCACCTGCACCTCCTTGTCAAACTCGCCGTGGACCGCATTATCCAACAACTCTCTCAGGACACGACGCAAAGTCTTGCCGCTGCGTGTCTTTGGGATCATACCCTTCCCCTGGATGAGCCCGCCCAGTGTCGCGATGGCGCCGACTTGCGACCGCACCAGCGCCTGGATCTCGTCGGCCAGCTTGCCGTCGGGCACTGCCGAGGTCGGATGATCGGGCGTCGAGAGCGTGATGAAGGCGAAGGGGAGCTGGCCTTTGAGGGCGTCCGGGATGCCGACCACGCAGGCCTCGGCTACGAGAGGGTGGGATGTGATGGCTTGTTCGAGGCCGCCTGTGTTTTACACTCATCAGTCTTTCTGCTCACATTTTAATTCAAGGGGAAAGTGAGACCTACCACTCGACAGACGATGGGCGCTGACATTTAGCACATCGTCGTTCCGGGACATGACGTTGACGTATCCCTCGGCGTCAATATAGCCCGCATCTCCTGTATCCAGCCATTTTCCATCAAAGCGTTTCAGGTATCCTTTGTAAAATCGCTCCTCGTCCTGCCATAGCGTTCTGAACGCTGTCGGCGCGAGTGGCAGGCCGAGGACGATGTTCCCCATCGTGCCTCTGGGCACCTCGTTGCCGGCATCGTCCACGATCCGTATGTCGAAGCCCGGCATCGCTTTTCCAGCACTGCCGGGCTTGATCTTGGGCGGAGGATGGTCCCGGACGTCCGTCTTCCTGTCTTTCCCCGCGTGCGGCACGAGAGCTCTCCCCGTGATCGGGGAGCCTGCTTCGGTAGACCACCAGTTGTCAACGACATGGGCGTCGACTGCTCCGTATCGCTCGAGAAGCTCCTGGTACATGGTGATGAGTGCCGGCTCGGACCGCTCCCCGGCGAGGAAGAGACCCTTGAGGGTCCGGAGACCTCCGCGCTCGCCCACTTGCCTGAGGAACTTGTTCTCGGGGTCGTCGCGCTTGATGGCGCGCAACGCTGTCGGGGCCGTGAACATCGTGTTCACCTTATACTCCTCTACGATTCTCCAGAAGGCCGACGCGTCTGGCGTCCCGACCGGCTTGCCCTCGTAAAGCACCGTTGCCGCGCCGGTGAAGAGAGGGGCATAGGCGATGTAGCTGTGCCCAACGACCTGTATCACCAATCGTTAACAATGATAACAACAACTTGTTGTGAGAATGTGGGGTCTCACCCATCCGATATCAGAAGCCGTAAATGACACGCACCCGGGACCGTGGATGTTGAAGAGATAGCTGATCGACAGATGGAGGCCCACGGCGTGACCGGCAGCGTCTCTCAACACCCCCTTCGGCGACCCCGTCGTCCCGGACGTGTGGATGATGTATATCGGATCCGTTGACTTGACCGGCACGCACTCTGCCCTGATCCCCCTCGCACGACAGCTCTTCACGATGCTCTGCCAGTTTCGTTCGCCGTCGTTTTTCTTGATAGGATGCCATCGGATTTGCTCACGCTGCCAGACGATGACTTTATCGGGTTTGTGGGAGGAAATGGTACATGCCTCCTCCACGAGAGGCTTGTAACTCATCGGCGGCTTGTTGCCATCGATGCCGCACGATGCTGTGAGAATAGCCACGGGCTGCGAGGCCTCTATGCGCTGAGCGAGCGCGTTGGGCGCGAAGCCGCCAAAGACGACGGCGTGGATGGCGCCGAGACGGCTGACGGCGAGGATGCCGATGAGTGCGGCGGGAATCATGGGCACTGGGAATCCGTGTCAGCTCCTATTACAGATTCACAGAAACTTCCGAGTGGCTCCCGGTGAAAAGGCTGGTCTTACTGTACACCAAGACCACGTCGCCCTTCTTGACGCCCTCTTCCCTCAGAGCCCCGGCGAACACCTCAACCTCATCCAGGAGTTGCTTATATGTGAGCGTCTGCTTTGTTCCGGTCACCGGGCTGTCGTAGAAGATGGCGGGTGCGTCGCCCTTGCCGTCGTGGACGTGTCGGTCGATACAGTTGAAGCAGGTCGAGATCTCGCCGTCTGGGAACCACTCCCAGGAGTCGTGAGTGACGCCGCTCTTGAGCGTCTTCTTGGTGACCTTTAGCGTTGATGTGGGTTTCTTGTGCCAATGCAGATGTTCCGCCTGGTGAGACCAGAAACCCTCAGGATCCTCGAGTGAGTGCCGCAGGACCTCATCCTGGGGGTGAAAGTTGTCATCCATATTTGAAGCGGTGAATCTCGTGTGGTTGATTGAGAAAACCAAGGCATGGAACAAAGCATTTGCACATTCACAACGGCATGGGCTTCACACACAATCTATAAGGTGTCTGATCACGGCGCAGGAAGCAGGGAGCACGACGTTGGCCTCGGCTCTCTGAGGCGTCCCGGACAGCTGGAGGTTTGGGAAAGGGTTGAGACGGATGTATCACGGAGAAAAGAGACATGAACCATGAACAATTGCTGACGTGCTCTCTACGGTAAATGCGCTGGCGCTGAGAGGCAGCTTCCCCGCATTCCGTTGCCCCGGGGTAAATGGGCGCCGCCCATCGTTGCCGACCACACCGACGTCTCCAACCGAACTTGGCGGCTTCCTTCGGCCAGGGAACCCCACGGGGTTACATGCGCGTCGATCACACCTAACTATGGCGCTGTAAAAATATGATTGAATGTGAATTGAGGATATACATGAGTTGCATGCTTTCTGGCAGACTGGCGACATTAGAATTCGGAGCCGCTGAGAATGAGCAATGACTTCAAATAAGCTACCTCGCTGTTGTAGTAGCGGTTGGTCTTTGGTAAGAAGAGATGCGACTAACATTTCGGAAACATGGAAGTCAGAAGGCAACTTGGAGTTAGTTGTACGGACCAGGCCGAGTTCCCACGGTTTCCTGACGGCAACGTGCTCCGTCCTTCAAAGACGAGAAATCGCCGACTTTACCCCATAAACCGACAACGTCTCCGCGAAAGGACCCCACTGGCTCCCCGCGAGACCCATCCTTCCCGTAGATTCTCCTCGGCTCACCGAGCTATTCTCATTGACCT